CTGTCCATCTGTAGCGATGAACACTTTGTACAAGTCAACCTGGGCAAAGTAAAGATGCACAACATGTCCATTGTTATACATTGAATAATTGACCTCATATTAAAAACTAAAGTGCATTATGGGTAAGTCTTAGAAGGAGCTGTTTGACAAAATATTTTATCATATGACTGTCAGGGCTTATCTGCAACCCCCACTCCTGAGAATTTCATGTAATTTGCTGCTCAGCCAAAATGCCTAAGTCCGTTTCCAGTACCATGCCAATCTAAAAGTTACTAGCAAACTCCATAATTCCTTTTTTTCGGGAATGGAAAACATCCGCTCAGAAAATCAACACAGAAAATTACTGTTACAAGCAACACTGAGACCACCCTTGCCACGTGGCTGACAATGCATTGAGAGAAGAAAATAACCAAAGAAAAGGTCTCCATGCAGCAGTAATCCAGCCTGATCTGCATGGCATGTTTTAAAGACTTCCAGGTGCTTGGTTTCTGTTCTTGGTATAAACAAAAGCTGTACCTTATTTTCCATTCATTACTCATAGAGTCTGCACCTATTACACATCTAGTAGAAAAAGTGCTACTAAGGATTTTGAAAATAAAATCTGTCCATAAGCAAACTTGAAGGGGACTTTAAAAGTAATTTAAGATTTGGTATGTATGTTGCATGCTTTCAAAAGATACGACTATGATGTCATTCTCCTGTAAAATGCAGATTTTCCTTCGCTTTACAAAGCCATCCGTACACCTACTTCCTCTCATGCTGAGTGAATCCTATGGGAAATGAGGTTTCCTCACTAATAAAGTGATATACTTTCAGCAGGGCAGTGAGTTTCCATATGCAGTGCCATAAAGTACTTAGATCAACTAGATCCAAGTCTTACTCATGATTAAGTGATCACCATTGGTGAAATTTTGATTAACTATATTCAGCTCTTTCTCTCTTAAGGCACTCAGTTGCTGGATACCTATTTCTTGTTGGGATTCAACAATCCATCACTGTAACCCCTTAATCCCAACCAGGGTCACAGGAGCCTATCCTGGGAACAACAGGCAGAGGCAGGAACCAACATACTGCAGGGTGCACACACTCACAGGGCCAACTCAGAGTCACCAATCAACCTACCACACACACTTTTGGACGGTGGGAGGTAACCGGAGCCCCCGGCAAAAACGGGGAGAGTATGCAAATTCCACACAGAAAGCCCCTACACCCAACCCAGGACTCAGCACTAATCACTGCGCCACCATGAAACCCCATTCAGCAATAAACATCAGCTCATGCTGAACTTGATGTAATAATAGTCCAGTAAAACAATTGAGTTGAATGGCAATGCTCATTCACTTTTGGATGTTCTATTATTTATTATACATTTATCTCATTTGACAGCTAGCCAAAACACTACACCCAAAACACTACACCCAAAACACTACACCCAAAGGTTCACCCTAGACCCCATATGGCATTCGTCCTCCCTTCATCTTGCTCATCGCGCCCAGCAGCCATGTAAGCTCAGCACGCTTCCCAAGGGAGATGTTTCACAACAAGTTATCTGCCCAGAGAAGTTTTTGCACCCTATGACATCACACAACACAAGGGCACCAAGGCGGAGTTCTGCTGCGTTTCATTGCCAAGGGCTACACAGACGAGGAAGTTGGACATTTCCAGTACTATGTTTGGTTGTTGTCGTATGTTTTGTCTGCTCCTAATAAAGGTTAGTAGATCTCCTGAGAGACTTGGAGTTAGTGACTGGTCGACTCACTGAAGCAGTAAACGCCCTTAGCAGGGTGGACAGAAAGACAGGGCTTAAACTTTTTTTTTATCCAAATATCTGTTGACAGATGTTTCTACAACTTCTGTGCACCTATAATGAATGTATGTGTAAATACCTGCTAACCTAAGGACCATACTCTTGTGCGAAACTACATACATAAACTGATTAAATGAGAGACAGGGCCCATGGGCTAAGGCTGCTAGTGGGCCTTGCTTGTCTTCTTGTCCACCTTGAGAAGAAACTCTGAAACATCACTGATACAAACCCTGACCTTCTGCTGTCACCCCCAGGCTACGCCCCCCACCCTGCGCACCACGGTCTTCCCACTTGATCGCCGATTAGGACAGTCTAGTATCTGAGAAGCATATGATGCCCATTACATCACAACCCTCCGAGACTGCAGGCAGCTTGCATTCCAGCAGAAGTATGAAAAAAGGATGAGGAAGATGGCCATCAAAGCCGCTCCCACACCTGTTTGCTCTTAAGAGTCCAGTTACGGGGAGCAGCTCCTGCCACTCAGCGAAGGCCGCGGCTTGTTAAGGCTGTTGATTGTATTCCCTGCTTGCCAAGGCTGTAGATTGTATTCCCTGCTTGTCAAGGCTGTAGATTGTATTCCCTGCTTGTCAAGGCTGTAGATTGTATTCCCTGCACTCAGCCTTAATCTCCATAGTATGACTTCTCTGTAGTGTGAATCCGTCTCTACAATTTGACTCCCTATTATGTGATTTAGATTTTTCACAGCTGTAACTCTCTGTACTAAGTTTAGGTTCCTTAGCTATAACAATTGGTACGATGTTTCAGGTTTATTCACTTTAAAATCTCCTTTATTTGGTTTGTACAAAGAAAATCCATACAGCCGTCACCAACATAGGATTCTCTCAATTTCAAAAACTTACAACTTTTAAGTTAATAACAGTGCAGGTATTTTTGTTCACTGTTATAAGGGCTGTTTTTTATATATAAGCTGTTTTATTGCACCTCCATGGCTCTGACAGCCTGATGTATTATGGGATATTTGTATAAAAACAAGTTAAAAGATAAAATGCTGTGGAGTGACCAACCATCACATAACTCATGTGAATGCAGATTGCAGATATAATGCTTTTACAGAGAGGTCACTCAGAAGCAACAAAGCTACAACAGAGAAGTTTTCAAACCACATAAGTTGATTTTTCATCATTTTATCGACGACACCGGCCTGACGACGCAGTCCTAAATATGTTAGGCCCATGTTTACGCAGCTCCTAAGCAGCTGTATAAAACAACGTCGCGGCAAGTTTCGGAAAATATCTGCCATATGACGTCACCCTCAGCCCACGCCAAGAGCGGACGGACTCGCGCCCTGTGAGGGTCAAACCCCGGGCCGCGAATCGCTTTCTCTGGGAGGTGGCTGAGAATCCGGCTCCCTGGGTAGATTCTGCAGTTTTCCTGCTCTCCGCTTAGCAACCAGTATGTGTGTCACATGACCACAACGAGCCAACTGCCGAGATCGCCTTCCACGCGTCATCCTGGTTGGGCGCTAATGACCTCACATATCTCTGCTAATTAAAAAAAAACTCTGGATAACACCGTTCCATGCTCCACTCGGGGTGGGAGACGGGAATCAGTCAGACCCACTGACACAAGAATGCTGAAGACAATCTGCTCAGGGAGACATCGGGAGCCATGGTGACGAGTCATCTGCAGTAGACGGACTCCATGTAGTCATTCCTGCCAAACATGTGTTCCTTCAGGGAAGCAGTGGGCATTTCTCTTAAACACATCAATTTCAGTGACCCTCAATCACTTCAGTAAGTGTTGTCAGACGGCGTCAGGCCCAGGAGAACAATCAGTATCACGGCAGGCTGAACCAGAGCCCAGCTGGAAGAGGAAATGGGCCATTCTGATTTACTCCAGGTCCACACATCCGGGTCAGCATTACATGGCTCTATGCTTCCAGCAGGAAGTCTTTCTGATGACAAATTTTTACGTCTTCCTCTCTCAGTCCTGAGCCAGCGATCAAACCATATGTTCACCCACCATTACCTATATGTAATAAATTTTCAAGAGAAAATTCTTCCTCTATACGCTGGGAAAAGTTTAAGAAGCCCAAAACGGCTCCACGGGGAAGGCAGGCCCAACTGACAGTTTCACGGTGTTAGTGTCTCTGCTTTGTTTACTTTTGGTTAAGCTTCTGCATGAAGGTTTGGCTTGTGGCTGTGAAGGCAGAATTGTTCAAGGCCTTGCAGATGCAATCACCCCCACCCCACACATACACACACACACACACACACACACACACACACACACACCCAGCGTAACCCCTGCGCCCCCCCGGCTCCACCTCCACCACGCAGCCGGGCGTGGAGACAGATGGACATTGCCGGCTGAGTGAAGCACAGAGACCCTCACACCCAGCTCTCCGCACTGTGCTGACATTGATGAATCCCGTCTGCTCCTTATACCGTATCGTGTTCTCGCTACGCTACTGTAGCACTCTGAGAAAACCATGCATTGGCCCAGGACGTTAAGGCGGGTCTCACGATTTCAAAACTGTTTAACTTTTAAGGTGCACGTTAAAGCCTGTAGTTTTCTTATTCTGGCCTTTTAGACCTTAACATCTATGGAGTGCGGTGGTAGCAATGTAGCTTTGTTTAATTAACAGAAAGCACATAGGAGCAGCTTCTTAGAATGGCGTTATTTGAACTCGGTTTGTGCTGTTAGCTTTAATTCAGATTAAGAAAAAGCATCTGAAGCTGGGGAAGAGGGGTAGAAAGGGCATTTGGCCACGGTGGGGGCCGAGGCCTGCAGTGTTTGTATGTTTAGCGTCTCC